TGCATACCTATATACAATCAGGCGAGGGAACTCCAGGAGAACCCTGCGCTACTCTCCCAACCGCGTCACTGGTACTAAAGCCAGCGGAGATTGGTCGAGAGCAAGATATTTAATTTAAAAAAAAAAATCTGCTAAGCAAATATATATATTTATACGTACGATTTTTATTATTTAAAAAGATTCAATGTTGGAAATAATAAACCAAAAACTAGTTAAAGTATTAATATCGAATTAGGTAAGTACAATAACAACGAAAATCATCATTTTTATTTTTTTCAAAAGCCTTTTCTGGTTTACAAGTTTTGATAAGTTAGAAATGTTACGATTCCAAAATCCCCAAAGACAATTCCCTAACCACAGCCGTTACGATAATTAAAGAGATAACCCTTAAATATTGCAAGAACCCTTCCACTTTTACAAAAGGAAGAAAAAAGCGCTGGCCTAAGCTGGGTTTAATACCTCGCACTTTCCCACTTCGGGGGGTAAATTAACCCCTTGCGCCCTTCTCAAAACAATGCCGCCTCTCCCTGTCCCAATTAATACAACCTTTTTTATAAGTCGTCCTTTTTTCTTTTCTGTTTTACACGCTCGCTTATTTTTGTTCGCCGTGCCCCCTCGGCCTGTGTTCGCCGGGGAATTAGCCATTCACAGCTGAAAGTCTGATTAGGAATCTGAGTCACGAATATTCCGCATATTTTATAATAACAATATGTTATTTTTGTTTTAAATTGGTATATTCATGTTTGTTTTATTCTTAAAACATATAAATTGGAAAAATATCCAAAAGAACAAGAGTTAAACAATACTTTTCCAGTTACAAAAAGAAAAGATAAAGAAAAGATAACACAGTAATAATAATACCAGTAAATTACGGGGGGTCGTACACTTCACCAAAAATAACATAATACAAAAAATCATAAAATTGTAAAACTATCATAAAAAATGGTGCAAATTATTACGCAACAGTTAATTATTATTAAACAGTTATATATCATATGTAACATTACTTTCCATGTCACATAAATAATAATAATAATAATTAAAGGTGGCTCTTAATATAGGCCTAAATATTTTTTTTTTAGACATTAATAATTTTCTAAGAATTATAGTCATTCAGGTCATTTAAGGCACTCTGAAAATCAAAAAAATAGTTATCAGCTTTGCAGCAAAACGTTTGGAAAATATTTAGAATAACATATCTTTGCTCCTAATTGGTCCAAAACGAATCTTGGTCTTGCAAACTCAGTCTTGGCCTAGGTGGTGGTCCTGCGTAAAAGTCTCGCAACAGTCTTGAGGTTACCTATTAACTCATTACTTGAGAAACATTGCTGTAATTTTTTAGATAGGAGAAACCGAACTAAGTCCGAATGAAAAATTACAAGAGTTAAATACAAAAGTATATTTTTTACACTAATTCTTTACATATTATTTAGTTATTATTTTACTTTTGTTAATTTTGTTTATTTTTTGTATATACGGTGTGAATGTGTTCATTTATTATAATTACTGTCCCTATGACAGAATATTATATTTCTAAATAAATAAATAAATAAAAAATTCTTTACATATAGGAACTAAAATTTTCAAGTATTAGTAACTATTTTGCTTCAATTTTTATTCAGAAAATCGATATTTTTTACCAGTCTTGGTCTTGGTCTTGCAACAGATAGGCGGGGTTGGTTTGCAATCTGCAAGACCAAGACCGATTTTGAGCAACACTACACCTAATCGTCCCATTTCAACGATTATTTTTTTGTTTTTCTTGAAATTTCATAAACGTTCGAATGATCATATACAAGATCTACAAAAATGTATACTTTTTGAGTTATTCAGAAATCTAATTTTAACACCACTCGTAACTTTTTTCCATCTTCTTTTGGGTGAAGAATTTTATATGGATAAATTTAAAGGGTTTCGAAAGAGGAGACTTTAGCCAAGTTTCGTCGAAATCGGTACAATTTAGGCGCTCGAGTCTGTAAGGTACAGGTTTTTCGGAGGCCATCTTGATAGAAAAGTCATTTTCGGTGACTTTTATGTGCAACTAATTATTGGTCAATTTTTTATTATTGTTTATTATTATTATCTCTTTTTTTATCTTTGCTTTTTATTAAAAAATGGGGCATATATTTTATTTCCTTATTATTATAAATATATTTATATACTTTATTTACGATTTAATATTATTCATTTAATTATGATTTTTAATTGTTTCTTAAATAATTGTTCATTTTTCGTCAAAATTTGAGCTTGTAACGTGTAAGAAAGACTAATTTAATTTTAAGATATGCAAGACTTTTGTTCACTGAAAATGTCTATGATGTCCGACAACTGATAATATCAGCGAATTATTCTTAAACAAATAAAATAAAGAGGATAAATTAGTTCCTATTTTACATTTGGACTTCTTAACTATTTTTAGATCCTATATTAATAAAACATCATTTCCGAGGACCCTTCTTGTAATCAACATTGTTGTATTGAACACTAGTTCTTCTATTAAAAAATCGTTAGCAGTTGTTATTTAAAGTAACGTATTTAAAGTAAACTACATATCTTAATAAAAAAAGTGATACATATGAGTTGATTAGGAAATATATATATATATATATATATATATATCATAAATCAAGAAATAAATAAATATAAGCCTAAGTAATAAAGGATATTTGAACTTTAAGATATCAAAAAATATAAAAGAGATATTCTCATATTACATCGTTATTATCTTATATAATCATCGACAGCGCATATATTTTATTTAAAAACCTATTTCAAAAATATTAACTAAGGTGTTGCACGAAATTGGTCTTGGTCTTGCACTTTCCAAGACCAAGACCGAGACGGCCTAACTTTTGCAACACCAAAACCAGAACTGGTAAAAAAAATCGATTTTTACAATAAAAATTAAGGCAAAATAGTTACTAATACTTGAAAATTTTAGTTACCATATGTTAATAATTGGTATAACCAATATACTTTTGCATTTAACTGTTTCATTCAAGCTTAGTTAGGTTTCTTCGATCAAAAAAATTACAGTAATATCATTATAGGAATAAGGTAAAATAGGTACTGCAAGACTCTTGCGCAAGACCAAGACTATGAAAAAGACTCGCATTGGTCTCGCATCAGGGCAACTCTAGTTAACTAATAATTTGGTTAAATTAGCAAACTGAGTTAATATCAATAAACTCTTAAGAGGCTTACAAGACTTGGTCCTAGGGTTAATGTGGAAGAGAAGAAAGGAAAAAAAATCAATTTAATATATGTATAATAACTATTTTTTAATATATTATAACTATTTTTTATAATATATAAAATAGTTGTAATATAAATAATTAGAAAGAAAATAATAAATAACAATAAAATATCCATTATTCAGAATCATTACTGTTAATAATATCTCAGACAATAAACAATACAACCAAAATTGTATATAAACATTTATCAATACAGTTACTTAATTTTATTCGATATAACTAACATACAGTTTCAATAGTTCAAAGCAAATTTTTTCATTGATCTTGTGAAAAGATGAATTGAACTTGAAATAAGAATGAAACGAACAATCGGAATGTAACAATACTCGCCAAGACGACGTTAAAGTCTCCCGACACCTTAGCACCCCCAAAAATCCTCCTTATTGTTCTATCTTCAAAATGGAACCTATATAAATGTTTACTACTTTTTTTTATAAAACCTAGCAAGTTATTTATAGATTTATATATAAGGAATATTTGATAGCATAGGTGATAATTTTAAATGTTAATTACTATGCAAATTAATGAACGGGCGCAGGTGAACTGTTTATCATGGTTTTATCACTATTTTTATTAGCTGATTAATATATTATACATATTTTTAATTGGCTAGGATAATAAAAAAAAAAATACCTCCAATAAGTCTTCAAGTATAAATGTGTTTTTATTAATTTTATATGTGTTCTTATAACAGGTCTTTTTTCTTTTCTTTTGATTTTTTTATTGTCTCAGTTCTTAATGGTCAAACTCTAGAAAAAAATTTCCAACAAAAAAGTTCTTTAGACGCATGCGACGATTTCGAACGGAAAAGCAGTTAAGAACAATTTTATGTTTTTTTTTTTTTTTTTAAGTTGGTCACGAATTTTTATGAATAATAAGGAATTGCTTAAAAACTTTTAAAGATAAATTAAATTCTAAGTACACTATCTTAAAGTAGACGAAATGTGACAAAACAGTGATTACATTTATTTTTTTTTTTTTTTAATTTATTAAGTTTTACAACAATCTGTCTCTTGGACATTGGTTATAGTGAGGTAGGATGACATTCACAATATATGTATAAAAAATAAAAAATAAATAGAAGCAAAATAATAATCAAAATTATATATAATAAATAATAAAATAAAATAACCTAAAAATTAAAAAAATAAAACTAAGGAAAAATACATGCACACCTATATACACTATTTACAATCAGGCGAGGGAACTCCAAGAGAACCCTGCGCTACTCTCTCAACCGCCTCACTGGTACTAAAGCCAGCGGAGATTGATCGAGAGCACATATTTTTTTATTATTAATTTCAGATTTATTGAAGGAAGTTTATCGACTGTTCTACACATCAAGGGTGATAAATGTTTAGAATGGAGACATTATAAAGTTTTTATTGGTGCCGACTTTTCAACCCACACATGTGTGTCATCTTCAGGGGTGTTTCGAGCACTGAAGGTATTCAAGTACTCGATCAGTATTCCAGTATTTGAACACCTTCAGTGCTCGAAACACTCCTTGATGATGACCCACATGTTTGGGTTGAAACGTCGGCACTAATAAAATCTTTATAATGACTGCTTCCTGAAAATTTATTACCTATTAATTCCAGAGTTAAAAGAACTCCTCCCTCCCTTCCCCCCGTGTACCTTTGATATACATACTCTACATATTATTACCAACCCTTAAGAACTAACTTCTACTTTTGCTTATTCTTCTTCTTCTTGAACTAACCTTTACCCCTGATGTTGTAGATGGAGGACGAGGGGCACCACGGCAACGACGAGACCCGGTGCTTCATCCTGTCGACCCTGGCTGGAATGGGGATGTGCAGGGTGGTTTGCATCCTCTGCAGAGCCCCGATGGCGGTCTTCGACAGGTACCCCCTCGTGGACGGCACCTTTTTCCTCAGCCCGCGCCAGCACACCAAGACCTGCATTGAGGTAAGAGTCATCAACTTATTTTAAAGGTTATTGGTGATACGGTTCTTGAGGATAACTAGTCCATAAGAAGAAATAAAAGTTTCATGTGCGTTTGTACATATATTGTTCTCTGATGATACGCAATACTCTAATTGTATAAAAAACTTTCTGAGTCTGATTGTATTAATTGAGATTGGTGAAATGTTGATATATGGATTCTTGTAAATAAGTCTTTTTTTATTGAGTATTACAGTCTGCCACACTGAAGGGCATTGGTACTAGGACTATAATATTCGTTCATACAATGTGTACATGCGAAAGGAAAAAAAAGATATATATATATATATATATATATATATATATATATATATATATATATATATATATATATATAAATAAAAAGATAAAGTAAAATACAACATAAGTAAAATAACAGATTAAAGCCGAATGATAACAAAATAAATAAAACACATTCACACCTATGTACAATATTCACATTGGCCCAGGGGACTTTGAATCAAGCTTGTATATAAGTATGGGTGCGATTAGTACCCTTACTTTTTAGTTTGACTTAACTATTATTTTACTTTCATTTCATATTATGTATCTCTTTTTTTGAATTCCATATGTTTCTTCTGATATGAATATGTATAATCCATCATCCTTATTATTTATTGAATAATTTCACGTTAGATTGGAATATTTGTCATTAAACGAGCCTTTCAAAATACCAATGAAAATAGTAGCAATTAGGTTCTTATGTGTGCCAAGATTTAGTGCTGCTGCCTGTCCAGTAGATAGTAAACTTAAAAAAAGAATTGATGATAAGAGATTTAAAGGTTTTTGAGTCACAATTCTGGATAAAACTTTGCAATAATAACAGTAGTTAAAAAAAGTAAAACAAAAATTGTATTTTTTCTTTTAGGTCTTTTCTTTATTTTTTGTTTTGTGACATACTTTTAATCATAACCGGATTTTTGAAAGCAAGGTAGCTTTGTAAATATGAAACTGTTCTTTTATACTCTTGGACTTGGATTTGAATCCAGATATTTCAGAGAATTATTTCAGTTATATATGCCGTAGATCAACCTTTCTGTGAAACAAACCTCTATAAAAATTTTCTGTTTAAGTGAGAAATAAGCTCCTTTCATAACCGTTCATTTAAAAACCATATTTCCACACAAAATATAATGAATCAAAGATTATTCACGAGTTTTAGAGATATAGATTTTCTACTTTTGAAAGTTGATAAAACTCAAACATAAAAAGTCAGTTTTTACAATAATCATTTCAATTATGTTTCTTTTGTTGTTTTTTTTTGCCTAATAAAAAATATTACATAGTATTAAATATTATATTTATGATGAAAGTTTTTTATGTAAATATTAATAAAAAAATCTAACAGTTGAGCGTTTTCCTGACATGATCACCTCCTTGCGTAACCGTTGGCCTTGAATCAGTACTTTCACACAAAGTACTGAACCCCAAGACCCACCCTTTTTGGGTTGTTGTGGTACAATTTTTTTTTCTTTATTAATTAAAATAAAGGCGAATTCTTAATTTTTTTGTGAATTTCTATTAACGAAATTTCAGGAAATTTAAATATAAAAAGATTCTTGTTTTCAGTAATATTAACGTGACTTTCGAAACTTTTAAAATTAATGTTAGGATTTGGTAGTTGCAAATTTAAATCTGTGTTATTAGGCCTTAACCATAGCAGTGCAAGGACAAATCTTATGAATATATATATATATATATATATATATATATATATATATATATATATATATATATATATATATATATATTATATTATACTAATATATGCAATAGTTAAAAATAAAATTATGAAGGACCAGGAAAATAAGCGTTAATCATTCAATAGCAAGGCAAATTCCAGTCCATATCCAATTGTAATATTGTAAATATATATATATATATATATATATATTATATATATATATATATATATATATATATATATATATTTTAAATATATTAAACTAGCAGAGGATTTCCTCCCCATGCAGTCCTCATGCCAGAATTGTGAAACCGATTCTCCATCCTATTTCCTTAAAATGTCCTAGGGTAATATAAGGACGAATTTGTAAATATATGTGTATATTATATTATACTTATATATACAAACAGTTAAAAATAAAATTATGGGGAATAAGAAAAAAAATAAAATAAGCAAAAGAAACATATAAATAAATAAAAAAGATTTTAAAAGAATTAATAAGAGACATAAGGATATTAGCCACGGATGTTTGGTCCTTTGTATCGATGAAGGAGCAGGAAAAGCAACAGTTAAAGAGGGAGTAGAGGCGGGTGGAACAATAGCCAGAGATCTCGCGCCCACCGCCTCTTTGTCTTCCTCTCCACCATGTCCTGTATCCTTACGCTCATTTACACATCCTTTATTTATCCTTATATCTAGAAGGTTCTTATGTCTTCTCCTTCTTGGCCAAACAGAGGAGAAGGATGTTCTTCGATATATGAAACAAAAACATTCTGATAACTAATATAAAGAACATATTCCAGCAATGCAGTATCGGATCCAGGATTTAATTTTGGGGACTATATGCTGCATATAATAAATATATATATATATATATATGTAACCAGAAAGGTGGAGGAAAATTTCCGTTTAAAAAAGAACGACTTTATGATCAGACTTCATGACCAGATTGAAAACTTGGAATTATCCATGAGAAAAAAGAAATTAAAGTTAGTAGAGCATATGTAGATTTTGGATCGGAATAGGCTAAACAAACAAATATTCGTTAGAGTAATTTGGATTGAAGAACATAAAAGGCTATTCAGAACAAATAAAAGAAGAAGTCAAAAAATGGGTATCAAAGAGAAGGGCTATCAAGTATATCGATAAATTCAGGAAAATAGAGAAAAATATAAAGGTTATTGCAACGGATAAGAAGAGGCAAGAGAGAAACGGACAGAGGAGAGAAGGAGGAAGATGGGAGAGAAATGAAAATAATATGGGCAGAAAGGAAAAAGAAAAAGATCAAGAAATGATATACGCGTGTTCCATCGTTGGCATGTATCGCGAAATATATTTTTTGTTTTATATATATATATATATATATAGATAGATAGAAAAAAAAACTTTATTCTGGGACTAAGTCCCTTCAGAATAACAATAATGTACAAAATAATAGAATATTACTGGCCTGAACGTTGAAACAATAAATAAAATTGATAAAATAAAATAAAAAGTAAAGAAAACCTTAGGTGCACAAGCTATATACAAACAGATAAAACTATGTACAGAGCATTTAAAATTATGAACAAAACAATTAAAACTATGAACGAATCACTTGAACTATGAACAAAATTATATTTAAGGGTTGAACAACATAAACATACACTTTGAGAAATGAAGAACGAAAAAGAGATACAATGAGTTCATTTCATAAAAAAAAAAAAACTTTACTTGAATATATATATATATAAATAAACAGTTACTTATAATTGAATAAAAAAAAAAAAATAAAATAAAATGTATGTATTGAAATTCCTACGTCGATAGTAGGAAATGCATGTACTATCTCTTACCAAGTGTTATGATTATATGATTGCTATACAATACATATATAATATCAATAGTTAGCTGGTATCAGACTGTTTTTGGAACAGGAATTGGAATAGGAGGTTTTTGAATGTATACAGGGAAGGGGCATGTCGAATTTTGATCGGGAGGGAATTCCAAAAGTTGACAGAGCGGGCTATAAAGGAATTTTGGAATGAGGCAGATCTATGAGAAGGGATGTATAGGTCAGAGGGTCGGGATCTTGTAGTGAGTGAATGGATTGAGGACTTAAATTGGAGAAGGTTGTAGGCATAAGAAGGACGATGATCGGTAATGATTTGATAAAGGAAAGTGCCAAGGAAATATTGTCTTCTTAAGGAGGGGAAGAGCCACCCTAACTCAGTGTAGTGGTGGGAGACACGGGAGCGTCTCGGGGTTCCAATTACAAATCTTACGAAGCAATTCATAAGTCTTTTGAGTCTATCACGCAGTTCCACCGAGAGGCCATCGTACACCACACAGCTGTAGTCAAAGTGGGGGAAGATGAGAGAGGAAACTATGAGTCTACGGGTATTTTGGGGTAGAAGATGGCGGAAGTGATGGAATAGTTAGATATAGATATATATATATATATATATATATATATATATATATATATATATATATATATATATCACGTGGAAGGCCAAAAACCAGATGGATAGATAGGATAAACAAAGATACGGCTGAGCTTCATGCCACAAACTGGAAAGCAGTAGCCCAAGATAGGCAGTGGTGGAGAAGGCTGGTTCAGGCTAAAAAAAATACACATATGAAATACACATATGAAATTATACATATACGGCTATTAAATACAACCATGTCTTATGAAAAAAAAATTAAAAACTTTATTTTCGTTATTACATTTTTATTTTAAATTAATATTTTTTAATAGACTTCAAGAATCACTTAAACACAGTTTTATATAGGTAGTTTGTTAGTTTCTTTACTTTCTTCCAAATTAATCATCATTATATATATGTAACGATAATTAAAATCTTATCACGTAATAGTGGAAATATTCACTTAATAATAAACATGTTTACGTTGACATTTTGAGAAGAAACTTGAAAGAAATTGTTGAAAATTTGGAAAATGTTGCTAAAAAAAGTATTTAAAAGTTATTAAGAAGTGAAGTGAGGTGTATCACTTAGACTGTGAAATTAATTTTTAGGAAAGGTTTTTTTTTTTTTGCCAATTTGTTTTACATGATCACAGTTGAATATTTTAATTTTATTGATGCCTTACTCATTTAAGATGAGATCATAAATAAATCCGTTGAAGATTTTCAGGTTTTATTTATTTACTGTAACCATTGAAGTCTTTTTTATACTTTTATAAGGGGTGTATCTATTTTAATATGAGCCATTGTATTTAAGAAAACAACAATATAATTAAAAATGTTTCGTTAACAATATAGAAAACGAACTGC